TTTAATCGACTCCAGGCGTGGATTCGTCTTTCAATTTTTGAGGGATTTTTAATCGACTCCAGGCATGAATTTTTCAATGAATTTTGTGCAATTTTTAATCGACTCGAGGCGTGGATTTGTCAATCTATTTTTGAGGGACTTTTAATCGGTTCCAGGCGTGGATTTGTCAATCTATTTTTGAGGGATTTTTAATCGGTTCCAGGCGTGGATTTGTCAATAATTTTTTCAGTTATTTTTAATCGACTCCAGGCGTGGATTCCTCAATGAATTTTTGAGGGATTTCTCATCGATTCCAGGCGTGGATTTTTTAATGAATTTTTGAGGGATTTTTTCATCGACTCCAGGCGTGAATTTTTAATGAATTTTTGAGGGATTTTTAATCGACTCCAGGCGTGGATTTTTTAATGAATTTTGAGGGATTTTAAATCGACTCCAGGCGTGGATATTTCAAAGAATTTTGAAGCGGCTTTGAGACGACCCCAGGCGTGGATTTTTCAAAAAATTTTGAAGGGGCTTTCAGACGATCCCATTCGTGGATATTTCAAAGAATTTTGAAGCGGCTTTGAGACGACCCCAGGCGTGGATTTTTCAAAGAATTTTGAAGGGGCTTTCAGACGATCCCAGGCGTGGATATTTCAAAGAATTTTGAAGGGGCTTTCAAACGAACCCAGGCGTGGATATTTTAAAGAATTTTGAAGGGGCTTTCAGACGATCCCAGGCGTGGATATTTCAAAGAATTTTGAAGGGGCTTTCAAACGATCCCAGGCGTGGATATTTTAAAGAATTTTGAAGTGGCTTTGAGACGACCCCAGGCGTGGATTTCAGAAGCAAATACTTCCAATTTTAGTAAAAATCGGTTCAGATGTAGCTATAGCTCCCATACATAAGTTTATCCGATTTGGTGTTTAAGTCCCTGACTTTCGTATATGCACTCCGCCACAATTACATTTAACATAAGATATCTCATACATCTCAGAAATGAAATTTTATCGAGATCGGTTGAGATTTGGATATAGCTTCCATATATATCTTCACGGTCATTGCGAACCAAATGATTAATATCGACACAAAAGGAGTGGATTGAAGCCCAAAAGGAGTAGATTTTAGCACATTCAACGGAATTTTTCCATTTGGTGGAAATCGGCCTCCATATATCCATAGCTCCGATACATAAATTGTTTTATTTAAGCCTTCTTAAAGACGTATCATGCATTCCTTAGCAATGTTATTTGGTACCAGCGTTACCGCCGGAAAGTTGCCCGCATTGGTGACCATATAGGGAGCTTGGGTTTAATAAATGAATATTAAGTCAAATATCAACCCATTTTTGTATTTGTGCCACTACTTCACCAGGATAGATTATCGATGCCAGGACTTGTCAACCTTTTTTCCAATTGTAGTTTTTCTTTATATCTAGTCGGTTTATTTATTGTCGTTTTTTTTTCTGTTTGCTGTTATAATCTTTTGTACATTTGTATCGGATTAAATTTATTGCACTGGTTTACCGCACTCGAAACAACTAAACCACCACCACCACCTCCTTTCCAAAACAAAAAAAAAAGATGTAGACAAATCAATTTCAATTGCATTTGTTTGCAAATCACTAAATTTTTCCACTTGAGTTGTTCTTTTCGTTCGCACAGCCACTGATCACAGATTTGTAGTCAGTTGATATTTATCCGATTCTTTTTTTTTCAATTTTTTGGCACCAAACAATTTATTTCTTTCTGGCATTTTTTTGATTTTTATTTGCATGGATTATTTGGAATTACTTAGTTTTTGTTTTGGACTCCCCAAATGTACAAGTTTTTATTTCGGTTTGGCTCAGCAAAAAAAATAAATCGTTAGTTGTTAGTTTGCATTTGTATTGAGTTATTTAATTTTGATTGTGGTTATTTATTTGTTTATCATTTTGCTGCTAGAATTAATTGTATTTTTGTAATAAATTGATTGATATTCAATTGTAAAGAAGAAGATAAAAAATTATTAAGACAAAAACAAAAAACAAGAATTGGTCAAATTGAAACACGACTTTTGTGAAAGCACCAACCGTTGTTCTTCAAAACAAAAATAAGGTAAACCGTTTTTTAATTTTACTCTCTTTTAAGATTTTATTGAAAATTGTTTTTTTTTCTCTCTCTGAATATCTTGATAACATTTTCGTTCTTTAAAGTAAGAAATTTGAACAATTCATAGACGTCGCCATGCCCAGCAACCACTGTTTTCATATATCTTTTTTTTTTTTGACATTTTTTATTCAATAGTTGTCAAGTGTTTCCTTGTTTTTACATTTTTGCAATTTTCGTAACATTCAATTCCAGTAAAGTTTTAAAAAATTCCATTTTTAATATTTATTAAAAATTACCTTTGGTTTTTCCTTTTTTCATATTCAAAATGCATTGTTGGTAATTTAGAGAAGTATATTGAAACCACATTTTTATTCTTAGTTTGAATCACAGTTTTTATTTTATCACAGATACGTTCATTTAAGAATTTTCATTCAATCCTCATCGGAAGAATTTTTCTTGGCAAGCTGTTTAAGAATATTTAACATATTTGGCCAAATTAACGAATTCTCACACGAAAAGCCCATAGTTTTAACTTATCTGCCACTTTTTGTGGCAGGTAAGTGCAAATTGCTATTATTTTAAAAAAATTGACAATATCAATAGTTTTTTTCATTTCTCAACCCTCTCGACATAAAGTGGAGGCTATATACACCTTGAAACCCAATAAAGTAAAGGATGATTTTTTTATACCCTCAGCCATATGGCTAGGGAGGGTATATATCATTTGATACGGTAAAAACGTGCCTAGTCGAAATAACGGTTTTAGACTCTAGGTCTCTTTGGACCAAATCCGTTTCAGGACATTTGGAGTCGATCTAGCGATGTCTGTCCGTCCGTTTGTCTTTCTGGCTGGTGCGCACGAAAAATCTCAAAGGAAGTATCCGATTTGTTCCCAACTTGGTACATCCTAATATTATTGTCAAACTTAGATCGAGTTCGAAGATAGGTAATATCGGTCCACTCCTATTGGTACCTCCCCAAAAAAGTAAAAGATGATTTTTTTTATACCCTTTCATTTGATACGGTAAAAACGTGCCTAGTCGAAATAACGGTTTTAGACCCTAGATCTCTTTGGACCAAATATTTTTTGGAGTCGATCTAGCGATGTCCGATGTTTGGTCCAAACTTGGTACATCCTAATATTATTGTCAAAGTTAGTTCGAGTTTGGAGATGGGCAAAAGGTCGAAAATTTCAAAAAATATATTTTCTGCACTGAAAGAGAAACGATAATCCGCTTTTCCTCCAACTTTGCAAGTCCTAATATTTGCGTCAGTGCTAGGTTAAGTTCGAAAAAGGACAATATCGGTACACTCCATCAAAGTATCTCCCCCACAATGGGCCAAAATTTTGAATAATTACAACTGTTATAAAATGTGATGTAACAGTCCGATTGTCTTCAAATTTTACACATCCCAAGAATATTAACCCAAGGTCTCCTTCTGGTACCTCCCCCACAAAAGGTCGAAATTTTCAAAAAAAATATATATTTTTTCTGCACAGAAAGAGAAATAATAATTCGATTTTGCTTCAATTTTCCAAATCCTTATATTTGCGTCAGTGCTCTTATAAAATGTGATGTAAGTGTCCAGTTATCTTCAAATTACAACACAACATTTTTTATTAACCCAAGATCTGGTGTTAAGGTGGAATATATCGGTCCACTCCTTCTAGTACCTCCCCCCACAAAAGGTTGAAATTTGGAATAACCTTTAAGCTCATAAAACGCGAAATTAACATCCGATTGCATTTTAGCTTGGAACATTTGGATATTTCTATCAACACAGGATCTGTTATAAAAACAGTAGATATCGGACCGTTCCTTCTGGTACCTCCTCCACAAAGGGTGAAAGTTTTGAATAACCAAAATGTTTATAAAATCCGAAATAAGCAACATTTTCTCTTTATATTTCACACATCCAATTATTTCTACTAACACTAGATCTGTTGCGATGATGGGGTTTATCGGTCCACTCCTTTTGGTATCTCCCCCACAAAGGCCCAAAATTTTGAATATCCATGAAGCTCATAAAACGTAAAATTAACATCCGATTCCATTCAGACTTGGCACATCTCAATATTTTCATCAACACAAAATCTGTTTTAAAGATCCGACTATTTGTTCTGGTATCTCAACTGATAAAGATGGTAGAGATCGGACCATTTGTTCTGGTACCTCAACAGTTCACACTCCAGGCTAGGGGTATACATCTGTCGGCAAAACCGACTGATACTTTTTTACTCGTTTTAATGTTTTTTTTTACTTAGCTGCCGCTTTTGTGGCAGGTAAGTGAAAATTGCTGGCAAATTCATCATTTAATTGAAAAAAAAAAACTTTTTAGTTCTTAAAAACAACTTTCGTAAAAAACCCCTCTAATTTCATATTTGAAACATTCCGTGTTTATACTGGAAGGTTTGGAGGTTCTCTAAAAATGTCGTAAATCTTAGGAAAAGTATTGCTGCAAATTCTCTTTAATTTACAATGGTTTCGTCGTTTATTTTACACACAACTTCCATAAATCGTTTCCACATTGTCCCTTGTTTTCTAATTTGTTTACGTAGTCCTCCTCCCAGAACTAGGCCCCACTTCTCTCAGTCACATTATTTGTAGGATACTCTTTATAATTTTTCCCGTGAGTTTTTCATCACATCTCATTTAGAGTGCATCCGCCCCATCAAATGTCGTTTCATGTTGTCGTTATTTCTTTTCTTTTTTCGAATTCATCCATTTCATGTTATTTTTTTATTATTATATTTACGATTAATGGCATATGTCTTTTATTATTCAAGTTAATAAATTAATAATTATAAAATTAAATAATTATAAGGTAATTGACAATTTTTGAATATTTTATTTGATTTATGTTTTTTTTCTGTGTGTTTCTTCCCTTTTCATTTCTTTATTCTGATAATAACCCTAACATGCAATACAGTTATCGCCCGGTCGTGAATGTTCCGATACCGATATGGAACCGCAAGCATCACAGAGTCAAGATTGTGAACCAACACCGCCACTACAACGACACAATTCAACCAATTTCTTTTTACCCCAAATGGAGAATGTCAATGGGACAATATCAACGGGGCAGGGTAATGCGGGCCAGAATAATGGTGGCGGTGATTCGCCGCGTCACATGCGCATGTATCATCCCCGGCATAGTCCCTTGGCGAGACAGAGGTAAGATATGAAATGATTTTGGGGAAATATTTTGAACCTAGCACCTATCGTATGTAATTTATCTGGACCATGGATAATTTGTCTACATGTTGGATAGTTGACTACACGAGATCATTTTCGATGAAAAAATACATTTATCTAACCGGATATATATCTTGTACCTTGTGATAACTGATTTACGTCGTAGATAACTAAATAAAGATTGTAGATAACTTATCCACAACATAGATAATACACTTAACATTGCGGATCGTGAATAAATTATGCACATCGTAAATAAGTACATTAACATCGATGCGGATATCTTATACCCGTTACTAACGCTGTGGATAACTTATCAACATCGTGTATAACTTCCATGTTGTAGATAATCAAATCAACACCATTGAAAACTTATCCACATTATGGATATTAAAATTAATATCGCGGCTAACTTCGTCGTGGATAATAAAAATAACACGGTGGATAACTTACCCACATCGGACATAACTTATACACGTGGATAATTTATACGTGGATAACTTATTAACATCGTGGACAATTTATCGTAGATAAGTTATCCGCAGCTGGATAACTTATCCACAGCGTGGATAATTGTGAGCATTGGACCCTAAGTCTCTTTGGACTAAATCGGTTTCATTTAGAGTCAATCTATGGGTTTCCGTCTGTCCATCTACCTGTCTAGCTGGCAGGTGCGCACGATAATTCTCGAAGGAGAGTATCCGATTTGATTCAAACTTGGTACACAAAGCCCCCACAAAGCTGTCAACACCTTGAATGACTATGAAGCCCATTAAACGGGAAATGAGCATCTGATTGTTTTTAAACGCGGAACATCCCAAAATTTCTATTAACACAAGTTAAGGCAAGAAAATGGAATATATCAGGCCACTCCTTCTGTTACCTCACCCGCAAAGGGTCAACATTTTAAATAATTATATCTTTAAGAAAATGCGAAATAAAATTTTTGATAAAACAAGATCTGGTATGAAGATGGTATATATCGCACAGATCCTTCTTGTGCCTCTCCCACAACGGGTCAAAATTTTGAACACAATATCTGCTGCGAAGATGAGATATATCCGTCGACTTCTTCCTGTACCTCCCCTACAAAGGCTCAAAATTTTGAATATCCATGAGCATCATGAACGCGAAATTAACATTCGGTTCTATTCCGAATTGGTAAATCTCAATATTTCCATCAACTCAAGATCTGTTATAAAAATGGTACAGATCGGTCCACCCCTTCTGGTACCTCCCCCACAAAGGGACAAAATTATGAATATTCATAAAGCTAATAAAACACGAAATTAACATCCGAAGCCATTCAGACTTGGTACATTTTCATATTTCCACCAACACAAGATCTGTTATAAAGATGGTATAGATCGGAAAATTTCTTCTGATACCTCCCCCACAAAAGGGTCAAAGTTTTGAATAACCAAAACGATCATAAAATCCGAAATAAGTATCCGAATCCCTTCGTATTTCACACAACCTATTATTTCTACTAACACAAGATCTGCTGTGGAGGTGGAATGTATCGGTCCACTCTTTCTGGTACCTCCCCCACAAAGGGTCAACATTTTGAATATCCATGAAGCTCATAAAACACAAAATTAACTTCCGAATCCATTCAAACTTGACACATCTTAATATTTCCATTTACACAAGATCTGTTATAAAGATTCTAGAGATCGGACCATTTGTTCTGGTACCTCCCGCACAAAGGGTCAAAGTTTTGAATAACCAAAACGATCCAAAAATCCGAAATAAGCATCCGATTCGCTTCACACCCTATTATTTGTACCCACACAAGATCTGCTGTAAAGATGGGATATATCGGTCCACTCCTTCTGGTACATCCCCCACAAAGGGTCAAAAATTTTAATATCGATGAAGCTCATAAAACGCGAAATTAACATACGATTCCATTCAGACTTGGTAAATCTCAATATTTCCATCAAGACATGATCTGTTATAAAGATGGTAGAGATCGGACCATTCCTTCTGGTACCTCTCCCACAAAGGGTCAAAATTTCAAATGACCAAAACGATCAAAAAATCTGAAATACACATCCGATTCTCTTCATATTTCACACAACCTATTATTTCTACTAACACAAGATCTGCTGTGAAGATGGGATATATCGGTCCACTCCTTCTTGTACCTCCCCCAACATCCGATTCCATTCATACTTGGCACGTCACATTATTTATTTTATATCTATGTAGGTGCCATACGAAATGGATAATATTGGTCCATTCCTAGAGAGTCAACAATTTGAAAAATCATAGCAGAAGCCAAATTATTTTTAAATAATCAAACATTGGCTTGATTGTATACATCTGGCGACAAAACCGACTGATACTTTTTAACATGTTTTTTTTTTTTTTTAATTGTGTATACTGTGGATAACTATAACTTATCTACCCTTCTAAATACTTTCTACATTTTTACTAATATCCCCTTTTTTTTTGCTCTTTCTTCCATCCCTCGGAAAACCAGGGGTCTAGATCCACAGCGTGGTTTCAATGATGCCATGTCACCAGATCATCCAAATCACATAAGTCAGCAACAACAACAACAGCAGCAGCAACAAGCACAAAATCGTACGGGGACAACGGCTACACCCACCATGCAGCAACGCATGAAACCCTTGGGTGTAGCCACTCCACTAGTTATGGCTAGTCCAGTTAGAAGGTAAGTTGTGCTGCTCATTCAAAAATATGCAATCAAAATGCCACCAAAACACCTGTGTTACTCTATGACATTTCTATTTTCCAACCCCCCCAAAAAAAAAAACACCTATACACTTGTTTACCTTTTTTAACAAAATTTCAAACGACCCAAACAAACAAATTGTGGACCAATGAAAATAATTAAAAAAAAAATTTTTCCTTTTTATAAATATTTTGCTTTTTTATTTGTATCTTCTTCTTTCTGCAAATTAAAACAAATTGAAAATTTTAAAACAATGAAAATGGTACCCACTTCCCATGTGAAACACAATTTTCAATAACCAACGAACAATGCCTAAAATAATACCCCAACTTTTTTAACTATCCTTTGCATTTAACAACAACAATGACACGCATTTTTTAATAAATTCCCCCTTCGTTCGTTCGTTCCCCACTCCAACCAAAAAAAAATTAAAAAAATGAAACAAAATTTATGAAATTTATACAAAAAAGATGGACATAGCTGGAATTTGCCACGTTTTCTTTGTGCCAACATAATCGGTAATTAACAAATTGTAGACAATTGCATTTTTTTTCGTTCGTTCGTTCTTTCTCTGTCTCACTTGCTCCGTGTGTGTGTTGTTCAGAGGCAAAGCAATGCAAAATGTTTTTTTTTTTTTTTTTTTTTTTTTGTTATTGGAACACCAAAAATTTTCTTGATTTTCTTTTGAGATTTGTAAAACATGGTTGATGAAAACTATACGCACAGCAGCAACAGCAGCTTTCGTTTGAGTAGAATTGTTATTGAGTATTGTTATTCTTGTTTTCTTTTTTTTTAGGTAGAGTTATTTTTCATTGCAACGACTAAACAAAAGTTGTTATTTTTATATATGTTTAAATAACAACAACAAGTATTTAGTTTAACAAAAAAAATTATTTATTTTTTAAAGAGATTGTTATGGCTTCAATTTCCAGCTTTGTGTTTTTTTCCTTCTTCTAATGCTGCAATGTTTACATAATCATTGCATATTTTTAGGCATATTCAGTTGCTTGTTGCATTCATTTTGAGTTGTGGTTTGTTTTATCATTGCCCCATTCATTATCAACAAAAATGTGTTTTTGCAAAGGAAATAGAAAATCCGAATTAATTTATAAGTCAAACTGGATATTTAATAAAAGATCAGAGCGCCTTTCCCATAGAATGAATAAATTGATAGTCTATTTATTACACAAAAATGTACTATTTAAAAAGCTGAAAAGAAAATTAATCTAGCAACGTGGCGGTAATGATCGACCGATGGTCTAATAACGACCGCTATAAATTCCACCGCTCTTTGATATAGTCCATCAGATTGAAACTTTTCCAGATAACTGGGAAAACTAGCAGGTCTCTATATTGAGTATATTCATTGGAGATGAAGTTAGAGGGCGTTGTACCGGGTCAAATAACATTTATAATTTATGTCCATCACGTCCAAATGGGAAATGATGATAACTACTGTGTGAGGATGAAGGAAGAAAATATAATTATTATCCAGAAAAATATAAAAATCATTTTAAAACTCTATTCTGAAAGGTTTTTTCATGAAGAATACTACTTCTTCTAGAACACTTCTCCAGCTAATGACATTGCTGTCCTTGTCTTTAGGTGGAGTAGTTACAATAGTAAAGTATGAGTCTTTTAATCTATTGTTTGTCTATTCCAGGAGCATACGTAGAGAAAAGGTCATTGGCATCAGTTCTAGGTCAGATGCGAAAATGGACAATATCGGTCAACTCCATCAAGTATCTCCCCCACAAAGGGTCAACATTTTGAATAATTATAGTTCTTATAAAATGTGATGGAAGTGTCCGATTGTCTTCAAATTTCACACATCTCATTATTTCTACTTGCACAAGATCTGCTGTGAAGATGGAATATATCGGTCTACTCCTTCTGGTACCTTCCCCACAAAGGGTCAAAATTTCGAATTACCAAAACGATTTTTAAACCCGTAATAAGCATCCGATTCACTTCATATTTCACACATCTCATTATTTCTACTAGCACAACATCCGTTGAGAATATGGAATTTATCGGACCACTCGTTCCGGTACCTCCCCCTCAAAGGGTCAACATTTTGAATATCCATGAAGCATGACTAAAACGCGAAATTAACATCCGATTCCCTTCAGACTTGTCAAATCTTAATATTTTCATCAACACAAGATCTGTTATAAAGATGGTAGAGTTCGGACCATTCCTACTGGTACCTCCCCCACAAAGGGTCAAGATTTCGAAAAACCAAAATGATTATTAAATCCAAAATAAGCATCCGATTCTCTTCATATTTCACACAACCTATTATTTCTAACAACACAATATCCGCTGAAAAATTGGGATATATCGTTCCACTCCTCTTGGTACCTCCCCCGCAGAGGGTCAAAATGTTAAATACCTATGATGCTTATAAAACGCGAAATTAACAACCGATTCCATTCAGTCATGGCAAATCTTAATATTTTCATCAACACATGATCTATTATAAAGATGTTAGAGATCGGACCATTTCTTCTGGTACCTCCCCCACTAAGGGTCAACATTTTGAATAACGAAAACGTTCATAAAATCCGAAAATGGAATCCGATTGTCTTCAAATTTCAACTTGCTATATCTAAATATTTTCCTTAGCCAGAAATCTGATATAAATATGTAATAAATCGGAATTTATGTTCGATTCGCTTTACATTTTTCGATTCGATTTAAATTTTGCACGTACCAATAGTTTTGTCTGTATTTAGATGAAGTGGAATATTTCGGTCCGCCATATCAGTTACTTCACGCATATTTCCACATTTTTGACAAATTTGCATATATCTCATATAAAGTATAGGGAGTAGTCGATATAGTCCAAAGATACGAATTGGTCAACTGCTTCGAAATCTCCTCCATAAAGAGTCAACAGTTTGAATAATAATAACTCAAGGCTGGGGGTACACATCTGTCGGCAAAACCGACTTGTTTATTTTAAAACTGGTCCAACAAAAAATTATTTTCCACAGTAAAGGACATTCACACCTATAGTATTTTGAATTTGACCTCTTCGTTAACTCCCTCTATATACTCACTACAGTTGATCCAAAACATATGTTTAGCTTTCTAGATTTACTTGTGTAAATTCACCTTTTGGCTATCCCCAAATGTGTTTTACTACCACCGACTGTATGTTATCTTTTGCTCCGATATCGATCAGGATTTCCCATGGGACATGAAGCTTCGTAATAATCTCAGAAGAGTAGTATATAAAGTGTTTTTAGATTTCTTGATGTCACAAATATTTGAAGATTTATTTCTGGTACTCTCAAATAAATTTTGTTTAATAAATAACAATGTTATTGAAATAATTTTTTTAATTTATTATCTTACCCACTTTTTTATTTGTAGGAGTTATGCTTTGCAAAAACACATTTAAAAAGGTTCTCATTAATTACCTCATCATCGTGAAGTTTCCACTTATTTACATAAATAATTCAGAAACGAAATTATTTCACAATAAGTTATTTATGATTAGGGTGTATTCTACACAAACCTTCTTTGTGCTTTTTATAATGAAATAATGAAAAACAAAAAACTACAGCATACTTTTGGGGTTAAACAGTGTATAAGTGAGCTGTCTTCTTTGATGAGCATTCGAAATTCCTTTTGTTTGTTTTTTGTTTACATTTCTTAAACTTCTCATCAAAACTATTCATTCATTTGTCTATAAATTCAACTATGTGTTTTATTTTATTTTCAATATTTAAATGTATTTTTTTTAAATTAAAAAAAAAAACCCTTCTATTCCTCTTTTATTTTCTTTTTTTTTCTAAAGCCAAAAATGATCAACCAATACTATGTAAAATAATAATGAAACAAAAACCCAAAACAAATTGTATTTCTATAAGAAAATGAAAGAAAGAAAGAGAGCGAGTGAGTGCGCGCACACAGACACATCACACCTCAACTCACCTCAAAAAATAAAAAAAAAACAGAAAGCCCGTGTACAAAATTTTGTTATATCAAACAAGAAACACCTCCTCTTCTTTCTCTGTAACTAAACATCTAGATTTAAAATTTTGTTTATTGTAACAAAAAGCAAAAATAAAAACAAACAAGAAGCTCCGTCCAAATATCAAACAACTTTTTGTTCGTCAATAACTATTTTCGTTCTACTCAACCACCCACCACTCTCTTCTGCTCAACTCTGTTTCCAACAACTTCTGTTTTCTCTGTTTATTTCACCCAAAAAAAAAACACATGGAGGTGAGTTAATTTTTTTTAAACAAATATTTTGCTTTGTTTTTGTTTTACTTTTCTTTAATTTAAATTGTCTCGTCCCCATTTTCGTTCGTAATTATCTTTTTTTTCACTTCACGTGTTGTGTTTTGTTCTGCTTGTCATTCATTCGTCTCCAAAGTGAATTCATTTCAAAATTTTTCTTAAAAATAAAATGTAATACAAATTTTTGGCCATATCTCACATTACATCGATACTTTTCACTGTAAATTAATTTTAACAAAAAAAAAAACATTTTTAATCTCAAATTTTGGGTCCTAAATTTTAATACCCTCCACCTATTCTCGGCGAAGCGCTTGCTTGAGGTGATTGACACTTTGGTATTTGTTAGTGCCAACTTTGCTTTCCAAAATACTCCAGATACAATAGTCCAATGGATTTGTATCCGGAGATTTTGGTGGCCATTGTGCGCTGGAAATGAAGCGTTGAATTTCATTTTGTGACCATTATTGGGTCCTGTTGGAATGTCCAAGGTCTGCGGCCAAAATATTTGCGTGCCCAAATCCTTAATACACCCTCCAGAATATTTTCGCGATAATATTCTGCATTTATTCTGATGCCACGGTCGATTAATACGAGAGGAGAGCGACCATCGGTTGTTATGGCTGTTATCACCATGGCCGGCGCATGAGTTCTGGTGGCCAACCGGAGGTGCAGAGATGAAAAAACTGCAACCAACTTCAGACTACTGTCATTGTCACCTTTGTGGTGCTTGGTGCATTTCTTCACCTGGAAGACATACCTAAATTTTTCCTCCTGGTCTTTTGTCTCCTGGTTTTTGGAAAATTTGGTTACAGATATGACACAAAAGGTGTTCGATAATTGTTAGGAAGATTCGACGTCGAAGAAGATGACCCTCAGAAGGACTCCCCGTTCGAATATTACCAGATTTTTATTGTTGTTACCCGTTAGGGAGAGGATAGACTGCTGCCAGTGATTATTTTCCAATCTGCAGACCGAAATTTCTCCTCCTGGTCTTACGTCTTCTGGATTAAAAGTTTGATTACAGATATGACCCCAAAAGGTGTTGGGTGATTTAGAATTCGAATATTACCAGATTTTTTGTTGGGGCTACCTGTTAGAGAAAGGATAGTCTGATGCTGATTATTTTCTAATCTGCAGAGTACCTCAAAAGTAGTCTTAAATATGCCCTCCACGGTCAATATTTAGTTTGGTTACAGATATGACCCCGTCTAAGAAGATGTCCTTGAATTCGAATATTACCAAATTTTTTGTTGGAGCTACCCGTTAGAGAAAAGATAGCCTGATGCTGAGTATTTTCCAATCTGCAGATTACCTCAAAAGTAGTCTGGAATATGCACTCCACGGTCAATATTGAGACTCTCTTCATCAAAGTGAATCGATCAGCTGGTGTTGATACGACCCAAGCTATAAGTAGTATTGTAAGAGACCCACTCCTATAGACCACCTCCCTTTGTCATTTATTGCTCTTGTAAAAGATTTCAGCAGTTTTTTCCAACTTCACTTCAAGCCTTTTTAAATAGCAAGGGGTGGGGTGTTAATCCCTGATTACATAAATCCCATTGATATTATTTGTTTTTCTCCAGTTTAAAAATTTCCACAACGTCAAATGACCCAAAATTTGTTTTAGAATTGTTTATAAAATATTAACAACTCTTTCAAATTCTTTCAATTAGTTTGGCATACATTTGGGCGAATACATTGGTTAACCATTCATCCATGTTCAAACATTTGTTTTTTTTTTTTATTTTTTTAATTCTTATTAAAATATACATTTTTAAAGGGCTAATCAAATATTTTTTTCTAATAAAAAATAGTCAAACGCTTCTAGAATTAGTTAAGAGAGATTTTTAGATTTACCCAAAAAGTATGCAATGAATTGGTTGACATGATTCCTGGCATTTTTTTTATATATATTTTCGTAATATTATATATTATTTTTTGTGCTATACACATCATTTAACATTTATTTTTAGTATGCTCCTTTTTTTCAAATTATCATTAGGAAGTTTAAAATCGTTTAAAAGTTTAGAATTTTGGAATAATGGAAATACTGAAAATAATTTTCCATTTAATTGTAGACAATAGCATTGTTGTTAGTATTAGAATGAATGTGAAACATATTCATTTTCATCACACAAAATCAGTTGTATCCTTATAAATCCGTGTTAAATTAAAAACATTTTCAAATAGATATAAGTCTAACCATTAACTAAACTCTACTTTAAAGGTAATCGCTAGTTTTGTTCCATAAATAAATGCAAAAATATACTGTTTTTCTTCCGGTAACCAGGAATTTTGTAGAAAAAATTAAAATTATTCTATATAAATTTGGCCAATGTCTGGTATCTCCCCTACAATAGTTAAAAAATTTCGCCAAAAAAAAAATAATAATACAAATATTTAATGAATATTTATATAAGATTTAAGTAGGGGGCAAAAATTAAAACATTGGCTCACCGATTCTTGCACCTCCACCATAAAAATTAAAAAAATATATTCATTCATATATCTCATATAAAATCCATAGGGTAATATTGCAATCAAACTTACATCAACATTTTTCTCATGTAGATGTGCTGGTATCTCTTTAAAGCATAAAGGATTTGTAAATAAGTGGCTTAAAATGAGAAATTATTCCCCAGTTTTCCTCAGGTGTAAAGGTCGGAATAGAAGCCCTTTTGTTGTAAGATACATTTTTTTTGCTGATTTTCAGTCTTTCTATAGATTTGTATGTAAGTAGGGTTTAGGACTTGGCACAAGCTTAAGATTTTGGATGGTTAATGAATAATAAATGGTGGATAAAATTGACCATATCTTTTGGAAGCAATACACAAAAACTTCAATTTAAACGGGAATATTTTTAATACTGAAAGTCACTTCCAGGCAAAATCACAAATACATGAAAGGACACTTCTAACACTGATTTCGTTGAGGCATAAAATCAAACATCGGAGATATAATAAAATATAATTGGAATCGAATCGAATCGTGTAACTATTCCAATGATTTTCCAAAGGAAATTCTGCTGCCGATTCAGTTAAATATTGTGCTTAAAACCAAGGTAAATTTAAAACATCTTCCGGGAGGCGAATACAGGTCTTAGTCTTCTTTTGCTGTCAATAGTTTTTTTAGGAAAAATCCATCAATAAAGAGAAACGTTAAAAAAAAAATTGCACAAAATTTACATTTGAACACTGTCCAAATATATTTCTGCCAAAAAAATCCGAGCCGTGCTAATACCTTCAAATTATCAACAAGTAAAATAGAAGCTAAGTTCGGCCTGATCGAACTTTTAATAGCCTTCACCATCTGGATGGTAGTTGAAAATTAAAAAAAAAAATCCGAAAACTACCACTTAATTGAAAACGGTTATATGGAGACTATACGAAGACATTGACCTGCATACGAATTTTTTTGTCATAGGCTGTAGAACCCACTATGAACTTCAAATACGAAATTTGAAAGAATTCCGGTAAATAATGTCGCTAAAACCTTCAAAATACCGAATAAAGAGAGGTACCGTTATATGGTGGCTATATGAAGACGTGGACCTGCATACAAAATTTTTTGTCATAGGCTAATTAGGAAAATACCGATTATCTGGATGTGCCGTTATATACATTGGCCGACATAGCCTATTTACGAACTTAACCTGCTTAATGTAAAAATATGGACGTATGCAAAATTTCTCCCTTCTATCTCAATTCGTTCGAAAAATAGCGTGATTACAACAGATACACAGACAGACAAACAAACTGACATCCCCAACTCGTCTTAGAATTTTATCTTTAAATGGTGGAGAAATAAAAATGGGGAGGTACTGTTATATAGTATCAGCAATTCTAATCATCCCAAACATAATACATATTTTTATTGAATTTGAAAGCTTTATATAAAATAACATCGGATCTATCTTAATTTCAACAGACATGCGGTCAGACAACACTGAATCTACTTAGAATTCTATTCTGGTCATTTTAGAGGTTTTACATCTTATATGGTACAAAAGGTGTAGGAAAAATCATTTAGTAATGCTTAGTGTAATCACATCCATCAGAGCCTCAGATTACAATTTTATCTTGAAGCTATGTAGATTTTTCCCGGATAATTATTTAAAATTATTCCCCAAGGATAATCACATTTTCATTAATTATTCTTTATTGTTCACAGATTTATGCTAATTTATTACTTTTCAGCATTAGTTTTAGGAAAATTATTTTTTTTTTACTTATTTAAATAGACTTTAGTTAGACTAGAATTGATTTGAAATGACAAAAACTACTATTGACCAGACATACCCAATGGTTGACCATAATTATGTTCAATACTTTTCAATTCAACTCAATACTTTTTTTACGCTTGATAAACAATTATGTAAAAATTTAGAAACCATATCCACCTATCACTCGGCTCATGAAAATTGTACAATTACCACCAATCCATTAGGCCATTGCAACAAATATCATTCACATCCAAAGCACAATATCAACATTCATTCCAATTAACATGTTTCTCTATCTCACTAATCGATTTGTACCTTCTTGGTTTTCATGTTAGTTTCTTCATTTTAGTTGTGTCTTCAATTTCTTGAAAAAGTTTTCTGTGTCTGCACTGCTTTTTTCAAATGTTTTTTTTTTCTGTTTTCTTTGTATTTTGAAAACTGCAAACAATCACAATTTGAATTTGTACTAACATCTCCCCCGCAAAAAAAAATCAAAAAAATTAAAATTGTTCTTTGGCTTAAAGCTTAACAATTGAGTTCTGTAACTATTTGGCATAACATAACCTAACTATTCTCTTCAGCTTTGTTTCTATTTTCCCCCCTATTTCCCCCGAGAAAAATAATATGAAACTGTTTTTTTTTCGTGTTCAAAAACCGTATTTTTGATTAAACTAATGAAAATATAAATAAATCTTTTCGAAAACTTCAAATAGATCAAATCCTGGCACACCCACACAGCCAAGAAGGCCGGATTTTATTGGTTTGAATCAGCAGCAGCAACAACAACTTGCCAATTCACAAAATCCAACACAATCCTATTATGAGTATACCACAAATGTTGGTCCCGGGCCGGGTTCTTCGTCCTCCTCATCGGCGGGCTTGCCGCCACAGCATCCGCAGTTACCCACGATACAGCAGCAACAACAAATGCTAATGCAGCAACGTGCCATAATGCAGCAACAGCAACAAGGTAAGCGATCACAAAAGAAAAATACAAAAAACAATCGGATAATAATAGTGTTCTCCCACTTTTCCAGGGGCTATTAACATTCAACAACAACAACATGCAGCTGCATTGGCCCAACAGCCATACGGAGGCAGTCCCCAGCGTCGTTTTCTGTCCGAGGGAGAATTGGTGCGTCAAAGCAGCGGTGCCATGGGACCGACAATGGGTGATCTGGCCTATGCTCGCTCCAACAATACCGTTGATAACATACGGGAACTAGCCGGCAGTCCCCAGAGAGGAGTCTACATGTGGAAGGACACATCTCCAGGTTTCCAAAATAGCACCGGTGGTGGTGGCGGCGGGGGCATGATGATGCCACCACCATCTTCAATGGCAGGCGGAGTAGGCTTAGGAGGTATTGGCAGCAGTGCGGGCACGATGCCAACCAGCATGCAACATCACAGTACAGGCGGGCCTCAATACATAACCGTAACAGGTGGAGCACAACAGGGTCATCCCCTAATTATGACACACTCGCGCATGCAGCCTGGTGGCGGTGTGGTTCATGACTTCCAACAGCAACATCAGCAGCAGCAGCAGCAACAACAGATGCATGGAGGAGGTGTATTCCATCGTTCAAATCCAACTAGTCCCACAACATTGCCTTCGGCCTCAACAACAGCTTCCGCACCAGCCTATATGCTACGCTATGGCGGTGGGACTTCAACGGTGACATCACAATCCCAACCCCAACCCATGGCCAGCTATAGTCAAGCTCTGGGCTCCGGTAGCACCGGCAATGCCGGTGGTCCTGCAGCCAGCTGTTCACAAAACTATCAACCCAAAATCCATGGTGGTGTTCCCGTCTTTCCACCCAATCCTCCGCCAGCTGGCATGTCATCCAATACACAACCTTCGCCTCAAATCAAACGCAAACAGACTCCCACCCGACCCATGTCCTTTGTCAGAGCACTCGAAATGACAGACTCTATGGAAATGCAAACGCTTGAGCAGCAGCAGCAACAACAACACCATCATCAACATCAGCAGCAACAACAAAATCGCAACAATGGTGCCATTATAACGGGACAAGGTGGCGGAGCTGCCCAGCACATAATTGGCTCGCGGGCAAATACCACCACGCCCACACCCGATCGTGCCAGTGTGTATGACATGAACTATGAAATTTCTGTATAACCCGTGCTGGTACCGGTCGTTATAGCCCCACCTGCCTCCGCGGCGACGTCACTGCACAATGTCTATGGCCACAAAAAGTTGATGGCCGCAAATAGCATAGGCAGTGGCGGCGTAACATTTATGGCCGCTGGTGGCGGCGGCGGTGGGTGTTCAATGGCCAAAAAACCACTTATCATCAACAACATGAATAGCACCAGTGAGAGTAGCAGCAGTAGCGGAAATAGTGGCGGTGGTGTGGGTGGCCTTGGCAGTGGCAGTGGTGGTAATGTTATTGTTGGTGTTGGCGTTGGTGTTGCCGCTGCTGCAGCAACATCCATACCAGAAGAGCCGGCTGCCTATGCTTCTGTGGCTGTGGTAAATGTCAACGCTACAAATGGTACAAGTAGCCATAGTGTAAGACAACCGAACAAAAGAAAATTTTCCACTTTTTTCTAAAAGCAAACAAAAAAAAGAAGACCCCTGACACACAAACCTCCTCATCTCATCCTTTTTCTTTTCGTTGCACGTTTTATGTTGAAAGGAAAAGAATAAGGATGTGCAAAAAAGAAGTGTGCCAGCCGATTTGGTTAATTTATACACCTGCCGCCCTTTGCCCCTCCTACTGTTCTCCTTCTTATACTATGTCGCTTCGATACTGCTCTCCAGAGAAAATCCGAAATGAAAACTAAAACTAAAAAACCATTTAACCTCCCAAAAGAAAACAAAACAAATTGTTGTATATATTTATATTTAAAAAGATATTTTTATGTTTTTTTTTAAATTATGTTTAATAAATTATAGCAATTTTTTAATTTATAAAACAACAAAAAGAAAAACTAAAGTAAACCTCCCCCTAATATACAATCATATATGAGAGTAAATGAAAATTGTATTTTAATACTTATTAATCATTCTACTTACAAACAACAAAAAAGAAAATAAATTAGAAACAAATAAACTAACACCACCACCCTAGGATCCCCACCCCCAAGTAAAACAAAGTCCCTTATTTATTAACCCCGCCAGGTAGATATTAGTTTTCTATTTAACACATTTGAAATATGAGTGATGATATTGTGCAGTCGTGGTAGGAGTTATGGCATGAATTGAATGTAAAAGTAAAGTACGAAAGCGGTCAAGTTATTTAGAATTATTTGGGCCTTTGAGAAATGAATATTTTTAATCAAAATTTGAGATTTGAAATATTTCTCTATTTACGCCCCAAAAACTATTAAGAAATTAAATTGAAAACATTTGGCATTATGTATCGAAAAACATTCGACATTTATTTAACATCTTCACACACCAAAGATATTTTTAAAAAGATTTCGATCAAGTTTTTTATGATAGATTTAAATTTTAATATTTCTAATAATTTTTAATAAAATTGTTATGATGTTACAATTTGGATTTTCGTAATCCAGAACTTTTTTAAGATGTGTCATATATGAATTTGAAAATTGGTTTTTATGATTAATTTGAATCATAAAACTTCCGCTTATTATTATCAGACATTTTTAAAAAGCTTTACAAATCTCTTAATTTGAATTATTTTTTATAAAATTTGGATGGATTTCAAATGGATTTCTTCTTCAAAATTTGTCGAAAAAGAAGAAATCGTTGAGTTTTCAATTTGTCCAAGAGATTTAAGCAAGCATGAGTTTTGTTATAAACCAATTTTATTTTTGAACCAAGTCCATACATCGTATCAAGAATGAAACTTGCATGGAATTATACTTTTTGTCTGTGAATGATTTTCTTCTCCTTTCCTCAAAAAATTAGCATATCGGAAAAAAGGAAATCGGCCCCATTACGGTTGTCGTCGACGTCGCAAAATAAAATCGAGGCGACAATAACGATATTAGGGTTTTTGTTTTTTGTCGATAGCGATAAATGATTGATATTATCATTGTCGATACAACAGTCGAAGTGAAGTCGTTTTTAGAGAATATATGTCGCCATAAAAAAATTGTGACGACATTGTATTTTTTAGTCGACGTCGATTTTAATGATTTTGTATTTGACATTTGACCATGAAAATAACAACAAAAAAACATTTTGGAAATATTGATGTCATATCCGATACTGGTTTACTAAGATCCTAGCGCTAAAAATCTTAATGATGTGGCCAATTGAAACAACTCTAGTTTAGTAGAAACTTTTTTTTTCGAAATTTGTTTCCAGGGGAAGTTATTTTTATCCTGATTCCGAAAGTCAGGGTTCAAGATCCCGGATCCACTTGCCAGTTATAGGCAATATCGTTTGAAAGCTTATGAAAATGATCACATGGCAACTAAAAGCCTTGCTATTTGAAACAACTGTTAAATTTAGAAAACTTTAGTTTTTGGAAAGGTAAGAGCGTCAGCTATAATTTGGCATCAATTTTGTTGATAAAATATATAAAAATATATTTCGATATACATTTCGGTAATTTGTTCCTTAGGTTTTGCATGCATTTTATCTAGTTTCCGGATTTAAACCATAGTAGGTTGTTACAAAGATCTGTTTCCCTACGCCGTTACAAAGGTGAATGCGAATGAAAAACACTATTCCAAATGAGTTTTTCAAATTTTTGATTCAATCAAAAAATAATCAAAAATTTCAAAATAATTTTTGGAATGGCATTTTTCGTTGACATTCGCTTTTGTATTGTCATACAGAAACAGGTCCCAAAAAAATGTTGTTTTCGAAGTTTTACAATTTTACAAGTCCAGCAATTTTTTTTAAATTAAATGTGCATGGTGTCAGCTTTTGCGTTTTCTCACAACTCTGATTGTTTTCCTCTCTTTTCTTAAAAAAGGTTTGAAAAAACACACATACACTCACTTCTGATGTATCTATGTTTTGTTTTCTTTGAAAATTCCTAAAGCTTTGAGCTGTCCCTACATGCTGCAACACTTGCCATCGATTTTAATGGAGAAGTACAAGAAACCATTCGAATTCCATTACAAAATATATGATTAAGAAAAGTAAAATGAATTAAACTGTTTTGGCTTTATCAGTTTCTCAAAGGACAGTCATTAATGCTTTGCATTAAATATTAAGTGTTGGCAAGTTTTCATGTAAGCCAATCTAGTTTCAAAATATTGTTGGAAATTTTAATCAGCAACTACCGAAGATAAAAGCAAACATTAAATTTTTTCATAGTTAAAAATAGGACCTGTACCAGTAAAATTCAAATTAAAATAAACCAATTTAGGTTTGAATATAAAATAATTTCCATAAAAATGAAAAAATTCGAGAAGTATCCCTAAAAAGTCCAAATAGGCCTTAAAACTTTATTCACATTTCCCGCATGTTAACTGAAAGTTAAATAAGTCTTTAGAGGAATAATGAATGTAATTATGACTAATAAATATTTTGCATGGTTTGCATTGAGGCACACATTAGTCTCGAAATGCATATTACAACAATTAATGTTTCAATTAATATGGAAAACAAATGGATACAATTGAAATTATTTAGTAAAAAGGACTATAAATTTTATCCTACTGCCTGTTTTTTATGGAAAATTAATTAAGTGTTAAGAGGAACAATAAATGACTATTAGGAGGCACTAATGTATGTGAGTAAGATACAAGAATCACGAATTGCGTCGTCTCGATTTATATCGTTTCGTTTTACATCACCTTTTTAAATTTATTAAATATATACAATTTGTTTGGAATAATTTCAATCCCTAATAAAAGGTAAATTAGAGGAAATCGGTATAGGATAATTTGATGTTAATGTGATTAGAGCCCCGATTTTGAATTTTCACTCTAGTTTCGGAAAGAAATAAAATTAGAAATCAGAATGCAGGGAATATTTATTCATGATTACGCCGAATAAAGTTTGATGCTGTACCTAAATTATTTCTACTGACAATTGAGTCATCGTAATAACCCATACGTTTCAGCACCAACTCATTCTTTGTATCATTCATTGTATCAGATCAAGAATTGGTTTCGGTTTGAAAAACTGTTACTGAAAATAATTTCAGTGGCTGTATTCTTGTTCTATGAAAGTAAAAGTATTTCCTTTATAATTTTTACTTTACATTTTTATAAAACAAGAATTTGGGCCCATTTGGTTGCTTGAAATTATCATTGACATTTTGGCCAAATTTGTCCGGGGTATTTGGTATTGAAAATGGGTATTCCGTTTCCTTCGTATGATATGCAAAGTGGTGTAGGATATCATTCATTACTGGTTTATTTTGCACATTCTTCATACATTTTTTTTGAGTTACCTCAATATTTGATCTTGATTAAATTTTGATGAAAGGTCGATTTATACAATTTAAAAAAGAAAAACATGGATTTTTTGATAAATATTCTTTGGACATAAATATCTGCCTATTAACCTCCAATTCACATTATAAAGTGTTTTAAGGACAGCAAATATTTTTAAAAAATTTTCAAACAATTCCATAAAAGCTCAGTACAATGCCATAAAAATACGACTTAATACAATCATTCATTTTTCATTTGTGTTAAATAAGAAACCAAATCTACCTCAATTACCCTCAACCAATAAGTCAAGCCCCCCTCCTCATCTTTTGTATAATATTTCGAAGAAAAGAAAAAAAATGAAACTACCTATATCTATATATAAATATTGAAAAAAGAAATCCTATGTATTTATACATATATTATTATATTATAAATAATTTTTTTAAACTTTCAAACGAAATCAATCAAAAAGTAAGAAATATTTCTTCAGTCATCTTCCTTATCTATATACTTATTATATATAAATAAATTTATAAATATAATTTTTATCAAAAGAAAAAAAGGAGAACTAATAACAATTGTTAAACAAATAGGAATATGTTTTAAATAGAATTGTTTTTTTTTTAATTTTTTTGTTTATTTTTACCTTATAAGCATTTATTAGTAATTTCATAATGTGTTTAATATACATAGTTATCTCCTTTAAAAAAAAAACCTAAATTGAATTCATATTTAAGTTATTTTTTATGAAAAAAAAAACGAAAGAGAGAGTCAGAAATCAGAAAACCTTAAAAACAATTGTTTTTTAATGTAATTATTATTATTATTTTGTAATACCAATGTGTTTTTATTACTAAAAAAATCTAAATAAATTAATATAAATATTTATGTATACATAAATCTATATTAAGTAAATATTTATGTATTTAAATTTACAAAAAAATAAAACTATTTTATTCTTATGTTGTGTAAATGTAAATTAAATTAAATTTAAATGAAAACAACAACAACTTTTTGAATCCATCCATCCATTTTTCAATTTCATTATTACTTTGAATTGAAGAAGAAGAAGAAAACCAACAACAAGAACAGAATAATAAGAACAACCACAACAAACCAAATTGATTACATTATAAATATAGTTAAATATAATACACACACGTCATCCCTCTCTCATCCTTTTACATCCATCCGTCTCCAACCAGTGAAAAATGAAAGTGTTTTTATGTTATTATATAAAAAGAAAAATTATTACAAAAAA